CTAGCAAGTGTTACTCTTTGGGAAACTGCATTGAAATGATCTTCTCCAGGCACAATGTGACATGAAAAGGGCCATGACCATGTACGACGCTGGTGACTTTCCTTTAATTGTGATATGCATAAAGCCAGGCAGTGACCGAGGTCCTCATCCAGCCAATTCAAGATCAATTTCTCTTTCACTTACCTGAGTGGGTGGATACTTCACCAATGTACAATTCATGCTTTTGATATTCCATTTCAAGCTGTGAGTGGTCGTGTCACTAGGAAGTGGCAGATCCAACATTTGAATCCAGATCCATCTGACTCCAAAGCTGGTGTCTTTACTGTTACCTGGCACTGGATTTAACTTGCTATAATTGCTTTAGCGGGGAAGGCACACCAGCCAAATCTCCTTCTCCACTTTCAGTTGTGCCCTTATTCTCCATGTCACCATCTGAAAGACCTTGCTGTGAGGCTACTAATGTAAGGAACATCTAGCAAGTGTTACTCTTTGGGAAACTGCATTGAAATGATCTTCTCCAGGCACAATGTGACGTGAAAAGGGCCATGACCATGTATGACGCTGGTGACTTTCCTTTAATTGTGATATGCACAAAGCCAGGCAGAGACCGAGGTCCTCATCCAGCTAATTCAAGATCAAGTTCTCTTTCACATACCTGAGTGGGTGGATACTTCACCAATGTACAATTCATGCTTTTGATATTCCATTTCAAGCTGTGAGCCTACATCTGACATGAAAGTCATTCTTTCTGAAGGCCAATAATGCTTTAATAAAAATAAGTGATTTAAGTTAACTTGATGCTTATCATAGCTATAGCTGGCACAGCTGTAACTTTTTGTTGAATGGAGCAGATCACAGTCCATCAAAAGAGAAGTATTTTTCTAAGGGAAATTGTATGTTCTTATTCTATCCATCAAAGGGCTAAAGTATAGTGTCCATTTTGATTAGGACAAAATGCTAACTTTTAAGATGAATTAATTTTTTAATCCACTGAATGATCTTGATGGTAACATCCTGTAACTCAGGGAAAATTAATAAAATGGGAGCAGAGTAAAAACTTAAACCCCATGAACCACTTCTACACCATAACCTTCGGATTTGTTTTTCACGTATATCACAGAATATACAAGTGCCTAGACAGAAACACAAGCTGTATCTACCTACACAAATTTAAATAAAGATTGAAATAATTACTCACATTAAATTGATTTGGCCTAAAGGTTTCTTTAGACGTATATCACAGAATATACAAGTGCCTAGACAGAAACACAAGCTGTATCTACCTACACAAATTGAAATAAAGATTGAAATAATTACTCACATTAAATTGATTTGGCCTAAAGGTTTCTTTAGATATAGTGAACTGTAACCTAACTTGATGTGCAAACAGACTGTAACCTACTCTTTTAACAAGTAGCTGAGTTGTGGCCGACTGTTCAAATCGTGTTCAAACCAGGCAAACAGCCAACTGTAACCAGCCCAGCTGCTTGTGTACCTCATTTCCTTTTTCTGTTCTTCACTTTTCCTTTTCTGTCTATAAATCTTAGCTGGCCATGTGGCAGCTCTGGAGTTGCTCTGAACTTATTCTGGTTCTGGCAGCTGCCCGATGTGTGAATAGTTCTTTGCTCAATTAAACTCTGTTAAATTTAATTTGTCTGTAGTTTTTCTTTTAACATTCAACTAATTCAAGCTTAAAATTTCATCCTTGCCTCAACTGCCTAATGATTGCTTGGATTCCCTATAGGATCAAAAATATAGGGGTGCCATTTCTATTAATTACTGTATGATTAACTTCAAAACTTTAGCGGAAAAACAGAATTGAAAAATAATACGAATCTATGCATGAACACTTTGATATACATATATATATATATACATGTAACACTTTATACATACATATAACTGTACTTCAAAAAGTACATGGAAAGATCCACATTATCTTTCAATTCTATTTTTCTATATGTAAAAATAGTGTCTTCATATGTGACCCCATAGAAACCAACTGAACGTATTAGTCCTACAACCAATTCCACTGTCTTGTGTCTAACCGGCATTGGTGTCCATTTACGTTCCGGAATACTTAATGAAAGTGACAACGTTAGGTTTGTATATAGTCATCAAGAAGTCTACATGATAGTAATAATGAATATGATTCACTGAGAACTGATTGATTAGTGTCATGTTCAGTGGCTTTAAAAATAGCATACATTAACCCATTAAATCTCACTGTGACTGCTATAGATGGGATACCTGCCTCCCCATCCCCCCAACCTCACTGAGGCTTAATCTCCACTGTAACTGTTGAGGGTGGGAAATCCTATATGGTAATAACAGGTGGGGCCTTGAAGTGACTAGATTGCAGGACCATGGTGGTCATGTGTGTGGTTCGGAGGGCTTTAAAAGGAGTGAATGAGGAGGTTAGCCTCTCTGCTCTCTCTCTCTCTCTGCTTCCACCATCTTACAATGTGAGGGGTCACTGTCGCCACCACCAGATGTGTTCCTTGGACTTTGGACTTCTCAGCCTCAGAAACTGTAAGCAGTAAATTTCATTTTCTTTACAAATCACCCAGTTCCAGGTATTTTATTATAAGCAACAGAAACGGACTAAGATAGTGACCATAAAAGAAAGATATATTCCTGTTTAGTTTAGGAAGCTAATGAATAAAGAAATTAAATAACTTTTCCACCTTTGGTAAGTGATGAAACCTGACTATGTAACATAGCCACAAAAATCATGCTTTTGAAAATTATTTACTGATGGGAGAAATGCTTACCATTTAATAAAAAGTAGAACACAAAACATATAGGTATATGTTTGTGCCTCATGCATAAACAGACACGTGTATAACAATTTACTGAATATACATATAAGGGGTTAAAATATCTGAAAGGTAATGTACTCGATTGTTAACTATTCAGTGGGGTAATGGGTGATTTGTCTTTTCTTTCAGTATTTTTCCATAATTGCTAAAACTTATTTAAATAAGCATGTATCATTTTGAGAATCAGAAAAAAGCAATAACAAAGTTTTTAAAAATTGCTTCAAAAACTACTGAAAATTTAAACAGATGAATTGCTGTAAAATAAATAGAAAAAGTAAGAGTCCTCCTAAAACAAACAAGTCTGCAATAAATTTCCCCCTTAGTACTGCCTTTGCTGTATCCCACAAGTTTTG